TAATTTATATAATATTATAATTAATTGTAACATTGTCATTAGAGAAATAAGTGATGGTGCATTTCAAAGCCTAATTCCTCCTCACATTCCTCTTCCTTGTGAAAGATTTAACCACATTAGTCTATTTTATAAAATAAAGATTAAATGTATATTTACTATTTTTTTATTAATAAATTTTTATAAAGACATAAGTTAAGAGCAATTAATATATTTTTAATATTAATTAAAATTAAAAATATACAAATTAACATTAATTTTTTTTAACATGGGAAATTATGGGGTATGAAAAAAAATTTTAAGTTTTTTTATAAAAATTAAACTTTTAATCAATTAAACTTAAGGATGAAAATTTAGAAACGAACTATGAAACTAAAAAGCTCAGTTCAAATTAATATTAATTTTATTATTAGTGTTATAAATCATTTTAACTGGATATAAGTAATTAATCAAATAAATATTAATTTTTATTTTTAATATTAATTAATGTTAAAATAAAATAAAATAATGCATACAAGTAGTAAGAAAGAAAAAAAGGTAGTATTCTGGTATACACGGCGACAGGTAGGATTTGACTGGTGCCGTCGATGGACCAGCATTTCAGATCCTCTGAATGCGCCAGATGATTGCCAGCACATGGTCGCAATGTGGGCCCCTGGTTAATAAAACACATGGGTATACGTACTTTTGTTTTTATGTTAAGTACTGATTACCTAGTTGCCGTTTGATTGGCATCTCATTGTTTTTCGTGACCGTTCGATCGGCATCTCTCTGTTTTTCCTTTCTTTTCTTTTCTTTTTTTTTCATCAGCTTTGACGAGGGGATCTTTCTGTGGGCGATGAGGAGCCAAAGTTAGTTGAGAAATTAGTTAAGAGAAGGTAAGATTATTACTTTTTTTTAATCATTACTCTCATGTGATCAAACAGATCATGTTTTTTCGTTCTCGCCCAGAGAAACAGATTAAATTACTCTAACAAAATACATCAAAATGACCCCTTTAAAAAATTTCTGTTACAAATAACTTCAACTTTATTAGAAGAATTTTTTTTTTTAAATTAGATTTAAAATTTAAGTTTTGATATCAATATTTAAATAAATAATTTTTTTAAAATACATTAGATTAATATAAAAATGTGTTAGTAATGTCATTTATTTAACGAGATATTTATTTCAAGATTAAAAAAATTAATCTAAAAATATTTTAACTGTAAATATTAAAAGAATAAACATAAGTACTAAAAAAATAAATATAAAGAAGACATTTTAAAAAATATGAACCAAATAATCGATAATCAAAATTTTGACTTTCTTTACAGAAAAATGTATAAGTTGTTTATTAAAGCTAAGAGAAATGAACAATTAAATTAAGAAATAACTTTAAAATATATCATATAATCAATTATGAGTAATTTATTGTCATATTTTAAAGTATTAATGGCACAGTAAAAAAAAAAAAAAAAACATTAGATTGTGTCTTTACAAATGTTATGTACGAAAAGATTACCAACAGCTCATTCAAAGGAACAAGAAATGGTTGATATGTGCATAGGGACAGTTGATCATTTACCTCGGGGTGTGTTTTTAATGTAAAAGGTGTGTGGATAATTACACAGCACATGGTGTAATAATATTATTACACTATGTGTCGAGTCCTTCCAAGCCAAATGAAATTCTGGAGGACATGCCAGCTCACAGATATTCTATTTAGGTTAAATGCTCATTTTGGTCCCTCAACTTTAGTGGTTTGCACATTTTTGGTCCCTTAAGAATTTTTTGCACTTTTTTGATCCCTCAACTATATGAAATGCACTCCGTTAGTCCTTCTGTTAATTTGGACCGTTAACCTTGTTTACGTGGCATTTTTTATATTTTTTTGATAACGTGGAGAGCAAAATTTCAAAAAGTGATGACATGGATAAAATTTTTGCCATGTCAGATGCTATCAGGCGAAAACACTAAATCCATGCAAGTGGGTCCCACATCACCACTAACAATTGCTTTGCCCATCGATTATGAAATTCGACGGAACCAGCAAATCTGAGTTCGAT